GAAGCTGGTATGGCTGGTACAGAGGGGTAGTGTGGCAATACAGCCTATAGTTAGAGTAAAGATGTGCATAGTTTTTGTCCCCAAATTTCATGTCTTGGAATTGACTTTAAGGAAATAGACTGGTAAACAAAGATGTAAGTGCCAGGATTTTTATTTTTCACAATATTGTTAATAATGATAGTTGATACTGTTGATAAAGGGAAGAGTTTGTATCCAGAAAAAAATACCATGCAGCAGTTACCAGTAATGACAGACATCTCTATTTATTGACCTGGAAAGATTATTTTTATTTATTTATTTTTTAAGACTTTATTTTTAAATAATCTCTACACCCAACCTGGGGCTCAAACTCATAACCCTGAGATCAAGAGTTGCATGCTCCACCAACTCAGCCAGCCAGGAATCCCTGGAAAGATTCTTTTTATTTTTATTATTTATTATTTATTTATTTAAATTTTTTAAAAAAGATTTATTTATTCATTTCAGAGAGAGAGAGGGAGAGCTTGCCTGGGGGTGGGGAGCAGAGGGAGAGAGAGAGGAAATCTTAAGCAGACTCCCCGCTGAGCAGAGAGAGGCCTGGGCTTGATCTCCGAACCCTGAGATCACCACCTAAGCTGAAACCAAGAGTCGGCCACTCAACCGACTGAGCCACCAGGTGCCCCTGGAAAGATTATTTTTATTTATTTTTATTTTTTAAGATTTTATTTGAGAGAGAGAATGAGAGAGAGAGAGCAGAAGACGGGGGAGGGTCAGAGGGAGAAGTAGACTCCCTGCTAAGCAGGGAGCCTGATGTGGGACTCGATCCCGGGACTCCAGGATCATGACCTGAGCTGAAGGCAGTTGCATAACCAACTGAGCCACCCAGGCGCCCGGAAAGATTATTTTTAAATGAACAAAGCAGTTGTTCAGTTTACAAAGCATACATAGGATGTTTCCATTTCTGTAAATCTGTTATATATAGGGGCGCCTGGGTGGCTCAGTTAGTTAAGCAGCTGCCTTTGGCTCGGGTCACAATCCCAGGGTCCTGGAATCAGGCTCCTGCGTCAGGCTCCCTGCTGAGCAGGGAGCCTGCTTCTCTCTCACCCTCTGCCCCTCTCTTTCTCAAATAAATAAAATCTAAAGAAAAAAAAATCTGTTACATCTATTTTTGTGTATGTGCAGAGAAAAGTTTGGAATGATCTGTAATAAAATGTTATAATGATGTGTTGTGGATTTTAAATCTCAGTCATTAATCAGGGGGACATGAAAGTAACTGTCTTTATTGTTTTAAAATTGAACTCATTTGGGCTCTTAAGCCCCCAGAATATAATATTTCCATTCGAAAGTGATTGAGCCCCTTCTTTTTTTTTATTTTAAAAAAACATTTTATTTATTTATGAGAGAAAGAAAGAGGGAATCCCAAGCAGACCCCACACCCAGCATAGAGCTCCACGCAGGGCTCAATCTCACGACCCTGAGATCGTGACCTGAGCTAAAATCAAGAGTCAGCTGCCTAACTGACTGAGCCACCCAGGCGCCCAGCCCCTTCTTTTAATACTCAGCCCCTTTTGGGTTATTAACGACTGGACCCTACTTCCATTTTTTCTGGGAATGATTGACAAAGTGCCCTGTCATGAGGAGAGGTACTGGGGACTGTGCTCTCCCTGGTGCTCTCGGTTCCCCTCTCCTTGTGCTGGGATGGGTTGTCAGGTCTGACTTCTGCTCCTCTCAAGGTGCATGAAATCTGTCAGTGCTTTGTCCCTAGTCATAGGCTCTTTTGGGCCCCCCATTTTGTGCAGAGCTGATTCGGACGGCCTCTTGGGCCCTGGGGGTGTGCTTGTTCTTCTGCAGGGGGCACCCTCTGAGGCTGTCCTCAGGCCTTTCTGCTAGGCCCCTCTTGAAGGCTGTTTTTTGCACTCTTTCTAATGTCATGTTGGAGGCAGCCTTCTCTAAGGGACTTGTGTTCTCCTCATGCCCTGGAAAGGGAAGAACAAGTCCTCTCTGCTCTTCGGCCCTCACACCTTCTGGGGCTTCTCCTTTCCCACCCTGCTCTGGGGGTGCAGGTTGCTGGGCATGTCTCAGGGACTCCCCGAGGCTCAGCCGTAGCCGCTTCCTGCAATTCTCTCCTCCCACCAGCTGGTCCATTCCTGACCCTCCTGTTGCGTGAAAGCTTCTCTTCCATCCTCACGAGCTCATCCCCATGCTTGCCTCCCCTCCAGGCTCTGTCTTGTCATCTTCCCAGCCAAGCTTTTAAAAAATTTAAAACGCTCTTCTCTCGGGGATCTTGACCTTATAATCGAAATAATGGTTTCCAAGACAATAGTCTGCTATAGATTTACAAAAATTCACTTACAAGTTCAAATTCAGAGGCCAGGGATTTGTGTCCAACATCCTTACCCCCAAGAGCACGTTGTATAGAAAGCTTTTTCCTGGAGCTTGAATGGTGGAGATGTGGGGAAAATGGATTGGAAATGTCTGTAGCTCAGTGCCAAAGTATACATCCTGCTCTAGTCCTCTCCTGGGATTGGTAGGATTGTGGGTGATTTCCACTCCTTTGTGACCTGCAGGTTCTGAATTTTCTATAATAAACATGTATATCTTTCATAATAGGACATATAGTAACAAAAGTTCTTTTATAAATAAAGGGACACTTCCAGGCACTTAGGTCTTTAAAGATAAAGGTTTATTTAATTTTGTTGTTGTATATTTTGATTTTTTGGGTACCCTAACAACCTCATCTCATCCCCATGAGTGGGCTCTTTGGGAGAGGGGAGGGTGAGAGGCAGGGGCGGGGTGGGAAGCAGTTACGGGGAGGGGGCAGCACTGTGGGCGCCTACTTCTCCCTCAAGGAGGAGAGTGATGTCGCTGCCCAGTCCAGCTGCGTGAGGCTGCAGCTTCGGGGGCATTTTCAATGACTGTCTTTTTCCTTTTAGTATGAAGCAATAGGCTTTATTAGTATTGTTACAGGCATTGGATTACATAGGAACTGATTTTTAGCCCGTGCCCCAATTGAGCTTTGAGGAGATAAATCATAGCAGAAATGGAATCACGCTGGAATTTCAGCCAAAACTTGGAGGAAGCTTGCCTTACAAAAAGATAAAAAGAAAACCCCTTTTTACATCTTAAAGTGATAGCCCTTAAGCCGGAGAACATCTCAAATATGAAAGTTTGTCCAATCACCTTCCCACCTTGCTTGAGCCCTGCCGCGTCCATTCTTGACAAGTCAGGGATTTCCTGATTTTTTTTTTTTTAAAGTTTGACTTCATATATCTATCTTTTATGGTACTTGATGTTCCCATTTTTTTTATTCTTCTGAATTTGAGTTTTGTGAAAATATTGGCAAAACCACTGTAAAAGCCAGTATCTTATGCACATGGAGATGAAAGTGAGGCAGGCTGTGCTCTTGGAGCCAGGGAAGGAGTGTGTGGCTGACGAGTTCCCCGGGACCAAGCCCGGGGGTGTTGTGGGAGCTGGGCTGGCTCCAGCGGGGTGTGTGAAGTCTGGCCGGAAGTCCCCGTGCCGGAAGCCCCCCTCTTGCAGATCTCCTCCAGCAGATGCTGCCCTGGCTGCTCCCCACACCCGGAGAGGAAGAAAGTGGCTCTCCTTTAGGCTGTGGTTAGAGACAGGAGAGGTGAGACTGACAACAGGACTGAGGTCACAAGCTGCGGGCTCGTGGTCCGTCAGCTTGAAGGAGATGGGGAAGGCGACCGTGGGAGTGAAGGCTTCCCAGTGTGGGCAGGGGGCAGGGAGCCTGAGGAAGAGGCTTGTCATGTGGGAGAGCTCAAGAATCCTAGAAACCACCTCTTTCAATCCCCCTTTGCTGCTGAGGAGAATGAGAGCCAGAGAGGGGGCAATGTATCTTGGCTAGGGCACCCAGGGTCAGTTGATGGCAGAGTCAGGACCAGAGCCCAGGCCCCCTGGGCCAATCCATTGCTTTTCCTGTTCCAACAGGGACGGAAGGCCTGGCTCTTTCTGGTGCCGGAAGCCTTAGGAGCTGGGGAAAGGAGACTGCCCTGGTCTCCTGGGCAGCTCCCAGCCCCCAGGTTCCCCCAGCTGCCATCAGGGCGGGGGGGAAAACATGAATTTGGTCCCTGTGGGATAGGTCTGAGTTGGGGCAGACACTTCCTCCTCACCGCCTCCCACAGGGGCTTATAATTCTAGAGAGATTCGGGAGCAGGCCTGGGCTGCCCCACTCAGATGCAAGAGTGAGACCCTGGGGCCTGAGCGCCAGGAGGGCATGGGGTTCATCGTTTTCTTCACAGCTGTAGACCTTGCCCCTAAAGCGCAGCCTGGCCATAGGCACCCACTACATTTTTTAAAAAAATGAGTGCACAGACCTAACACACGGGGTGTTAGGGTCTGGCTCCGAGCAGAATGGTGAAGTGGGCCAAGTTTGCTCTCAGGGACACTTCTAGCCCACAGTTGCTCTGTCTGGCCCTCTCAGGGTCATTTCCCTGTCCTGAGGGCCCTGGTCATAGGGGCTGCATCTGACTTACCCCTCCATTCTAAGGTGCTACCTCTGACTCAGACAATGACAGTCAGGAAGAGAGAAATGTGTCTCAGGAAGGAGGAGTCAGATGATGGTGGAGTTCCTGGCTCCTAAGGGGACAGCATCTTTGTGCAGCACAGCATGATTTCCCCTGAACTTCAGGAAAGGTTGGCCTTGATACGTCAAATACTGAAGATCAGTGAGTGCAGAGGGTGAGCTGCAGCTCCCTCTGAGGCCTGGGACAAGGTGAGGGAGGTGGGAGCTGGGCCTAGCGCCAGAGGTGGCAGGATTCTGAGGAGACGGAGAATGGCCTCTCCTCAGAAGAGGCCATTCTTGAGGTGGTGCTGTGAGGGGCCCTCAGGAGCCTTGAGTTGTGGCCTCTGAGGGGGAGGATGGGGCAACCAGCAGCAGTGACGACCTCTTCCTGCTTGGGGAACACAGGGCCCCTTGTCCCGATGGGTACACAACCCATCTACCTCTTTTTCCCCTCAACCGGGAGCCCGGACTCACCTGCCGTGGCTCTGGGTTCTCGTCAGAAGTGAGGAATGTAGATACACTGGAGAGGACTGAACGTGGTCTTACACGTGCCCAGGGCCTGCCGTAGGGACAGAGTTAGGGCCGGAGGCCTTGGACCCTGTTCCCCTTTCCCAGCTCTGAGGGGGATGAGAAGCTCCTACTGGAAGTGGCAGCTTTCACTTTGACTGCCATCTGGTGGGTGTTCTTGGTGTGACCTTGTAGACCTCCTGGAGCCCCGGGCCTTCTAGGTTTGGAGCCTGAGGAGGTAGGATGCTTGCCCCAGAACACCCACTTGGCAGCTCCTGCCGAGCACACGCTGCTCAGCGAACAGCCTCCATTCCCTAATGTGCATCAGACCATACTCCTTACAGCTGCCCCCTCCTTTCCTATGTCTCCTTGTCCATTCTTTTGTGGCTTTTCCTTGACCCATGTTAAAATAGCGTCCTGGGCCTGCACTCCTGGGGTTGCCCTGGCCCCAGAGGAGCGGGGCCTCTGCCAATCGTGGACCGGAGAGGGTGGGGGCTCTGGGAGCTGAGGAAAGTCCTGGCACCAGCCGGGAGGGTGAGAATACCTGGCAGGTGGCGTGGGCATCCTGGCCCCTGGCCATGAGGGTGTGCAGCTGGGGTGTGTGCTGCTCCACAAACTGCTCGCACTGAGGAAGGAGAAAGAAACAGGTGTGTGTTGGGGGGCGGGGGGACTGGGCCTGTTGCAGGACTCTCCCCTTATCTGCGTCACTCCAGCGCTCCCTCCTGACCAGGTGGAGGTCCAGCCATTGCCCCCAGCGAGCAGCTCTGGGCTGTGAACAGGCTGGTGTGGGCTGAAATGGAGGGTTCTGTCGGGAAAGCCAGGGGCATTGGAGATGGAGGGTCTTGCAACTCACGCGCAGGGGCTGCATCTTAGCCACCATCTTCCCATCCCCACAAATTTCAGGTCTAGAAATCTTCAAGCTCCTCTGGGCTTGGCAACCTGACGTGGTGGGCAGTGGGGAGCCCTGCACATTCTGGAGCAGGGGAGTGCCATGCCAAACACTGCCTCCCTGGCAGGTCATCAGTAGGCTTGCCTCAGGACTTGACTTTGTGAAGGGAATTCACTGTAGGGACTCTGAGTCCTGGGGCTCCAGAGCCTTCAAGCCCAGCCCTCTCTGTGGGTGGATGTGTCCCTGGTGAGTCACACTGAGAGAGGGATGGGGCAAGGACAGGACCGGGGCCCTGGAGAGAAGGCCAGGCCCTCTCCTGCTCCCGTGATAACCGGGCCTCAGTCTTTGTCCGTGAGGGAGGCCTGCAGGTCCTCTGGGGCCCATGCCCTTTGTCCAAAGGCGACCCCTGACCTTGGCAGGTTTTGCCCTGTGTTATTTTTCCACGGTTTTTGGGCCCACGTCCTGCCTGTTTGAGCTCCTCGAGGGCAGGGGTCGGACCACTCTGTGTGTCTCTGATGGGGAAGCCTTTCCCGGGCTCCCCCCTCCACTGGGGGCAGGCCCAGGGCCCCAAGTCCACCGCGTGCCCGTCCCTCACCTTTTGCCTGTCCCACCAGGAGCTGAGGCATGCCTGGCGTATTGCCTGCGGCATGGCCTGCTCGCTGCTGTTCCTGGCCTGTGTGGTCACGAACATGCAGACGTGGCACTCGGACTCTTGAGGTAACCATTCTCCGGGCAGGGACTCCGGAGCTGTGAGGACTGGGAGAGCAAACCGTCAAGCCTGCCCTGCAGAGGTGCTCGGTTCTAGTCCGGATTGGTGCAGTGCAGGGGGCACCGGGGAGAGGGGAGGGCAGGGCAGGGCCAGGGGCAGGGAAGAGGAGGGTGGGTGCTGGGGAGGGGCGGGGGCAGCAGGCTCACCGGGGCCAGCGCCGTCCTCGGAGCACCGGAGGACCAGGCCGCACACCATCTGGGGCAGCACGCGGCTCAGCAGCGCATCTAGCAGCAGGACAGTGTAGCGCTCGGCCAGGCACTGGCAGATGCCACCCACCACCAGGGGTACGGCATGGCACACCTGGCCCATAGCCTTGGCCAGCACACCCTGGGGTGGGGCAGAGACAGGGCATGGTGGGATCTGCCCTGGCAAGGTCTACGCCGTGCCCGGCACCTGCGGGCATCTCGTAGTTTGACCCTGCGCCCTTTTGGGAGGGGGAATGAGTACGCCGTTTACAGATAAGGACGCTGGGCATCCAAGAGTCTGAGGGGCCCCGCCAGAGTCACTAAGTGAGTTCAGGAGCCAGGCCGCCATCCCAGCTCAGCGTCCACAGGCTCTGGGGCTGTGGGAAGGAACGTGGCCAGCCCAGACAGGCGGCCGTAAGCCGGGCCACACGGTGATCAGACCTGGGTCTTCCCCCTGCACATGCGGGGCTTGTTACATTTCCCTGCAGCGGCAGCAACTTTCATCTGTGGCTCCTGGAACCCCTGGGGGAAGTGAGGAGGTTCCCCAGCCCACCCCGATTCCAAACTTCACCTCCCAGCTGAAGGGCAAGGAGAGAGGCAGAGGTGACAAGCACTCTGGCTCATTCCCCCCTTTCTTCATTCATTCAACCAACACGTGTCACGAACCTGCACTGCGCCAGCTGGCCTTGGCTGTGCCGCAGCCGGTGGCCGCCCCGTCCCCCATTGCTGGGAAGGTGGAGGTGGGCGCACGACACAGTGAACTGTATGTCTCTGGGGTGCTCTACCTTCCAAACGGGTACGTTTCACCAAATGCTTGTGCATGTCACCTGCTTGTGTCAGAACCCACACTCACCTAGCCTCCCCGCTTCACTGACAGAGGAAAGGTTGTTGCTCTGCCCAAGGCCAGCCCATCGACTCGTGCCCTGGACCCCCACCCCCACCCACCCAAGTACGTTACCCTGCATTGTCCTCTCTCCCCACCTCACTGCTTCTCCCATCCGCTGGCCAGTCCCATTGGCACACAAACGTGCCAAGATGGCTTCTGTCGCTAAAAGCCTCACTCGTCCGGGTGCCTGGGGGGCTCAGTTGGTTGAGTGTCCAACTCTTGATTTTGGCTCGGGTCTTGATTTCAAGGTAGTGAGATGGAAGCCCCACGTTGGGCTCCCCACTGAGCATGGAGCCTGCTTAAGATTCTCTCTCTTGCCCTCCCCCCATCCCCGCAACCCCCCTCTTCCCTTGTGTGCACTCTCTCTAAACAAACAAAGAAACAAACTGGGATTCTTTGCCATCCAATGGTGAGCTGCTGGTGGACAAGACTGAGGTCTTGTTCATTTTTATTCTTTGATGCCTGGCACAATGCCTGGCATATAATAGCAGGGGCTTTACAATTGTTGAATGAACTCTAGGCCTGGCCCCCACGGGGCCTGAGCCTGAGCTCCGGGGTCCCTTGTGTGGCCCCTGACAGGGGTATGAGGAAGGGTAGGGGAGGGTGGAGCTGTGGAGGGCCCTGTTGAACTACTCGTATTCCTGGATGTCTTACCTTGGGCATCACAACTTGGATCCGCTTGATCAGAGTCTTGCAGAGCCAGCAGTAGGGGAGGGGGATGGGGAGCTGCCTCTTGGAGAGATCCTGTGGGAGAGAATCACCCCCAGGTGAGGCCGGGCTGGGCCCTGGGAGAAGACATCCTCCAGGCCCTACCTCCCCTGACTTCTCTTCCCCTTTTCCCTGCCTTAGGCCCTGCTTAGAGCTTCTTGTCCCCTTTCTGGCTCTGCCCTCTCCAGGGCAAGTGCTTATGGGCCTTGGCTGTGGCGTCACTGTATGGAATCCCACCTATCTATATGAGGGGCCAGCAGTGCAGGGGCCCTCTGTCACCTGGGTGTGAGGCCCAGCCTTCACCTGGAGGGCTCCCGGCAGCCGGGGGAGGATCAGCTTCTCCAGCAGCAGGTCTGACAGCCCTGACTCCTGCCCTGGCTCCGGATGCCCAGGTTTGCACAGGCCCAGGTGCTTGCAGATGACCTTCGGGTTCTAGGGCACAATGCAGGGTGAGGGAGTGGTCAGGGTGTGGGAGGGGACCCACTCCTGCCCAGCCTGGCTCGAGGGCTTGCACTAAGACCCCTGGCTTTGGGCCTGGAAGGAGGGGCAGCAGGCTGGACGGGGGCTGTGGCTTAGGGTTCTGTGGTGAGTGTGGGGGGAGCCAAAAGGCAGAGGTGGGGCTGTGTGGGGTCTTCCGGCAGGTGTCTGGGGATGTGTGTGAATGAGCACAAGCATGTGCGTTTGTGGGAATGGATGAGTGCAAGCATGGGTGTGAGAGTGTGTTTGTCTGTGTGAGTATGTGATGGTGAGGGTTCTGCATGAGACTGAGTGTGTGAATGAGTGTATGTGAGTGTGAAGGGTGTGAGGGTGTGTAGTGGGTGTTTTGTAAACCCGTTGTGTGGACCCACTCAGTACAGCTGAGCAGGTAGGGCTATGATCTGGGGCATGTGGCTGTGGGCCACTGTGTCTCCTGGACTGGTCACGGGTAGGGTGTGTGTGTGTTTGTGTGTGTGTGTGTTGGGCTGGGGTGTAGTGTGTGTGGGTAACTCTGCATGTGGCTGGACATGGGGGCTGTCAGGGAGGCAGGTTGGAGGCAAGGTTGCCGGGCCCTCACAATCTGGCTCTGGAAGTAGTCAATGACCACTGGGAAGTAGGTGTCGAGCAGGTGACTGCACTGGGGCACGAGAAGCTTCAAGGGCAGACGGTCACACTCTTGCTCCAGGAACTTCCGCATCGTGTCCTGGGAGGCAGGGAGGAGACAGTCAGGCTGGTCTCTTTGAGGTCTGTGCCCGCCCGAGTCCCTGGAGGCAGGACCACCACCAGGCAGGCTGGCCACCCTCTCCCAGGACACCAGAGCTGAGAGAGTGCCGAGGGGTTAAGTAGTTGGCTACAGGGAGGATCCTCCCCCTTAGGAGATACCATCTCTGGCTCACTCCCAGGACCCTCTCCTGGCCAGGAGGTTCCCAGAGTCCCCAGGCAAACCCACGCCTCACTCTCGGCCTGGAGATGGCCTCTTTAAGGGGCTAACCTCTGTGCCCTGTCATGTCCCCCATCTCTTGGCCCCCACGCTTCATCCAGGATCTGGGCCTCATCACCTGGAAAATGGCCTCCTTGGTCATCTTGGTGAGGATGCGGACGATGGCCTCACATTCCTGGCACAGGTCATCCTGGGGAGGGGGCCCCGAGGTGGGGCATTTGAGTGGGGGGGCCATGCTCCCAGCTCAGGTGTGTGAGGCTGACAGAGCGCTCCAAGGCACAGGCAACTACCCCCCACCCAACCCATCCATATCATCTTATCCCACCCTATCCCAACCCATCCCATCCCCTAGGGGGGCTTGAATCCCCTCAGGCCCACGCAGAGGCCACCCAGCACGCTCTACGCCAGACCCCCAGTCCTGGTGCATCCACGGGAGGTACTCACAGCTCTTGCATGGCCCCAGACTTCCTGTAGGCAGTGCCCCAGGGCTCTGCACTGCAGTGCTTGCTCCAGGCTTTGGCACCAGAACTCGGGGCCTCGGGCACAATCCAGGGACAAGGCGGTCCAGTCAGCTGCAGTTTGGGGCCAGAGCAACCTTGGGATTTAGGCCGCACCTGGCACTCTGACTTCACCCAACCTCCAAACCTAATTTTACCAGGAGCGCTTGGCCCTTAAATGTGCTGGAGTCAGAAGGAGCAGGGTCCCACCTGCAATATGCGCCAACCCCCCCCCCACCCCCGGAGCTGTGTAACCTTGGACAAGCGCGGGAGCCACTCCGAGCCTCAGCTTCCTCAGCTCGTACGGACTAGGGCTAACGCCTGGCTCAGGGCCGGAGCTCCATGCGCCTGGAGGCGGACAGGAAGCCTCCTCCACACCTGGCCCCGGGAGAGAGGGAGCTGAGAGGCTGGGGAGACTCACCGGCGCCTGCGCCGCACAGCGTGGACAGCAGTAGTAGCCACAGCAGCCGCTGGGACTTGGCCATGGCACCTCCACAGCCTGGATCCCCTGCTGGGCCGGGGGCCCTTATACCTGGCCAGGGGCGGGGGGTGCCGGGCTCTGTGGGGGCAGCAGGGACCTCAGTGTTTGCCTTTGTCCTGGAGAGCCCTCCAGGTGCTTTGATCCCTGCCTCTTCTGAGCGGTGACACTCTACCAGCTCCCCCCCCTCCTCCCTTTTCCTGCCTGATACCTGGTTCCTGCTCCCTCTCTCCTCCTGCCCTAAGTCCCATGGGCCTGGACTCCTGGGACCCTGCAAGCAGAGGGCTTTTGAGTGTCCACATCTGTCCCATCTCTCTGGGCTATGGGGGGGAAACAGAGGCAGGGCAGGGCGGCCAGAATGAGCCCCATTACTCCCCAGCCCCTCAGGCCTCCTTTACTCTTGAGCAATACTCTCAAGAGCTTCCTGCCTGGCTCTCTCTCTCTCTCTCTCTCATTTGTTTTTTGTTTTTTTTTAAGATTTTTTATTTATTTTAGAGAGAGAGAGAGAGAGCCCATGAGCAGGGGGGAGGGGCAGAGGGGAAGGGAGAGTGAAACCAAAGCTCTGCGCTGAGCATGGAGCCCAAAGCAGGGGTTGATCTCATGGCCCTGAGATCACGACCTCAGCCAAAACCAAGAGTTGGTCACTTAACCGACTGCGCCACTCAGGCGCCCCTCTGCCTAGCTCTTGACCCAGGGCAAGCCCTGGAGGGACAAACCTGGGACCCTCCAAGGCCACCTACCTCCCACCCTCTCCTAATCTTTCCCCAGAAAACTCCTCTGGTTCTGTGGACACAGGATTGTCATTCCTCAGAAGAGCATTTACATGAAACCAACAAACAAAACCCCCAAGTGCCCCAGGAGTGTGAGACAAGGATGTGGGGACAAGATTTCCAGAGTGGCTCCTGAGCAGCCCACTTGTCCCCTGGGGGCCCCTCCCGGGCCAGGGCGGGCCACCACTGGAGGTCCAGGAGAAAGGAAGTGTCTTTGGCAGGGGTAGGGGCTCCAGGGTCAGGTCCCACTGGCAGGGCACGCCCGGGGACAAGCTCGCCACCTGCCCAGGGGAGGACACTTCTGTGAGTGCAAGGAGTAGAGCCTTAGCTCCTTGTCACCAGCTGGTGATGAGTGTGTTGATGACGGAGGCACCCTCTGCAGTGGAGTCTCCCGGGCTCTGAGCTCCTGGAGGCGCCCCGATCCTCCTGGCGTTGGGGGACTGGAGTTAGTGCCACTGCACACGGGATGGTCAAGTGACACGCTGGAGGTCACCCAGCGATCCGTGCAGTTTGTTGGCTCAAGCCCTTGTGAGTAAGAGAATGTGCGACCACAGATCAGGAGCAGGGTGACTTGGGCACGAGCCAGGAAGGTGGGACCGGAATGTGCTAGTGGGTCACTAAGTGGGGAACAGCCGAGCTGGACGCAGCCGGTTTGGGTGCAGTCAGGATTGACCAAGCAGCAGAGCAGGATTTGGGGACGGCTATCTCCAGGGTGCGCTCCTCAGCGTAGTGTCACAGAGGTAACACAGAGCCCTTGAGGCCAGTGGCTTCTCAGGACACATGCTTGTTTCTCACTCCCATCCCAGGACAGACCAGGTTGTCTTGGGTGAGGGGGAGGATCTGGTTCACAAGGTCGTTCAGGGGCCCGGGCTCCTCTGTCTGCCTGGCCGCCATCCCCCAGGGCTGGGAGTTCTCCCCTGGATCCTCTGCCTCTGGCCAGCAGGGCACAGAGAGGAAGCCTGGAAGACACGAGGGAGGTTCGAGGCCGGGCTGAGGAGGGCTGTCCATCATCTGTGCCCTCAGCTCATGTCCAGAACTCAGGCACAGGTTCCTGCTGAACCACACAGCAGGCTGGCAGATGCAATGTGCCCGAGCGTCCAGGGCACAGGGGAATGGAGTCGGACACAAGGCTTCGTCTCACATCCAGCCCAGTGAACGCAGAACTGAGTGTTTCGTGAGGTTTCCTGGATAGCAGGTCTGTGGCTTCTCCCCACTGCTGCGAATTGTCATCCATGAGCATAAAATAAAAGACACGCAGAAAGCCAGTTATTGCAGAGAGCCCCGGCCCTGGAGGGGAAGGAGGTGCCCTGTCTCATGGTCCCTAGGATGGGTCTCTGGTTCCCCTTGCCCTAACACCACTGTCGGCACAGTTTCTGATCAAAGTTTGGCTTTTCATGGGGCATGGACGTAGGGAGAGCCTGCACAGATCTGTCCCCTGTCCTCCTGGCCCATCTATTTCTCACCGTCAATGAAAAAAAATCATTCTGGGAAAAACAAACAGACAAACCCAAACACTATTAGCCATCCCAGGGTCTGGGAGCTCATGAACTATAGTTTGTTGATAAGGATGGCTCCCCCTGGGGTGTGGACAGTTATCATTTCTGCGGGCCAGTCTCTGGTGACCACACTGTTTCCACTCAGGCTTCCTGTGTAGCACCGTGTCCACAGCTGACCTCGGTCCCCACTGCCCCTGCCCACAGCAAGAAAGTGGCTTCGTGGGGCACCCAAGCAGCTCAGTCAGTTAAGCATCTGACTTCAGCTCAGATCATGGTCTTGGGGTCCTGGGATGGAGCCCTGAGTCAAGTTTCCCGCTGAGCCAGGGAGTCTGCTTCTCCCTCTCACTCTCTCTCTGCCCCTCCCCCCAGTTGCTCTCTCTCTCTCTCAAATAAATAAATGAAATCTTAAAAAAGAGAGAGAGAAAAAGACGTTAAAAAAGAGAGGAAGAAAGGAAGGAAGGAAGGGAAGGAAGGAAGGTAAGGAAGGAAGGAAGGAAGGTAAGGAAGGAAGGAAGGAAGGTAAGGAAGGAAGGAAAGGAAGGGAAGGAAGGAAGGAAGGAAGGTAAGGAAGGAAGGAAAGGAAGGG